TTTGAATGGCTAAAGAGAGTACAGTGTCATTGGCAATGTCAGATCAGAATTTTTTATTTTTTTTTAAATCTCAAGTTATATGGCATACAACTTTCTTCACTTTAGACACTCAGGGTATCCTCACCCTTCCTGGGTGTACTTACAAGTTCATCTTAAAAGCTTCATTACTACAGATTTAGTTATAGTAATAATGGCTCTCTCTTCATTTGAGTATCTACTATTCTGTTGCATATTGGTATATATGGGGGGGGAGACCCAAAATCAGGAATTTATTTATACAAAATTGTGCATTTATTCGTACATGTTTACACTTCAGTCACCTTCAAAGTACTCTCAGTTTGATGCACTACACCTATCGAGACACTTCTCTCACTGCTCAAAACAGTTTTTCAACTTGTCAGTGTTGATATATTTCAGTGCTTCTGCTGTTTTTTGTTTCACCTCTTCCACATGGGCAAAACATTTCCCTTTGAGGACTTTTTTCATCCAAGGAAACAAAAAAAAGTTGCTCAGGATGAGATCTGGTGAATAGGGAGGGTGGGGCACAAGGGGCTTGCAGTTTTGGGTCAAAAACTGCTGAAAACTCAGTGCAGTGTGGGCAGGTGTGCTCGTAAATCACCCATCATAAAATGGGCAAACGCGTTGAAAGAACCTCCACATACACACAAAAATTCCCTGAAGCTGAAGAGAACCTCTCACAACAATGCTAGCAGGCTGGTACACTGATACCAATGGGTTCCTAGAATACTTACCTAGTGGGGGCAGCCTGTACTATAAGGGGTCCGCCCTCCAAAAAGATAATTCCAGGGTTTCTTGGGTTCCTTCTTGTATGTTGTCTCTAATCTCCATTTTGAAGAAGAGGAAACAGGCTCATAGAAAGGCCTACCAAACCTCTAATAGCTAGTTAGTAAGGGAGCCAGGATTTTAATTTTTTTTTTTTAATCATCTCTATTGTCACTTAGTCACTTAAATATCGCTAATTGGAGTAGGAACACATTATAGTCTATGATGATTGGTGGTAAAAATGTCAGTCTTATAAAGTCAGTTCACTTCATTTTCTATGTTGTATCCGTTACAAAAAATATTTTAATCTTATTTTAATATTCTGATTCTATGGTTTAACATTCTTATCACTAATAGTCAATAGTCATATTGACTTCTCTTCATTAATTTCCTAATAAACAGTGAAAGTACAATATCAAATACTCTAAGGGTATTTTTAAAGGAATATATCTACTCAATCATTGTCATTTTATTGTTTCCAGTTTTTTGCCTTTAAGTTATGTAACTCAAATATAGCAATTTATCAGTATAACCTCAAGTTCATAAAGGCTCAGTTATGTGGTCACAATCTCAGACACCAAAATCCAAGTGCTATGTGGACTGAGAAGATTAGCTTTAGATGGCTGGCTTTCCCTATAGAAAAAAATGTGGAATTTATTTCTAAAGAAAAATATATTACCTGTTAATCTTTCATTTTTGCATAGTATCTTCTCATCTTTAATCATATACATACAGTATGGTATTTGTGGTGTAAATAAATTTAATTGTATATTTTCACTGAGTCTCTAGCTATTTTTAATGATAGCACAATACTCATTTGAGTTTCTTGTATTTGTCACTTATTAGTTTAAGTTTTTTCTGTCTTAGCTACATTGAAAAAATCATCATGTACGTAGATTTTATTTTTAAAAATGATTTCCTTAAGGTAATTCCTCCAATATTGAATTGAGTTAGAGTATGGACAACTCAGTGATATTTGATGGTTATATATGTGGCAAGATTCCTTTTTAAAAGGCTTATCTCTTCACACTGCTACAAAAATGTAGGGGTGAACCTGATCAGACTGACAATCTTGGTGAGGTGCTAAAAACATGTTTCAATTCCAGATCTGTAAAATGCGCCTCTCATTGTAAAGACTGTGTGACATCAGGGAGTCATCACTTCCAGACCTTTCACTCATTGATCTTCTCAGATGGTTAATAACTTCATGTGGCAAAAAGGTGGAGCCAGACTGCTCACGTTCAAGGTCAGTTCTACCACGTATCAGTTGTGTAATCCTCTGACAAATTACATAAATTAGTGTGCTCGTTTTCTCATTCATACAAGGAAAATACCTACTTCCCAGAATTTTTCTGAGAATTAAATGTGATGCCTACTACATTTTGAAATTGAGCACATATTCTTTTAAAGTTAAGGCTATATTATTTTTAATATTCTAGACTGTGTTCCCCCTCAAAAAAAAAAAAACCTTTTAGATTTAATTTTGGTGAACAGTCAAAAGCTAGAGGTAGGTCTGCAAAGAGCTCATTTACTAAGGTGGGTCATAAAATATCGATTTTTAAAAAAGGTTTAATATTTTTAAAATATTGGCATTTAAACATTAACTTAAGAAAATGTATATATCCTTGCATGTAAACCATTGAGCCAGTTGTCTCATTGCTGATTAATGCCGAACAACCGAGTTATTGCTATTTTATTTGTCCTTAGTTTGTGCCAGTTTGCCTTCTTCTTTTAACGAATAAATCTGATTTCCCACAAAAGCAAGTAGAATATTTTATTGATATTGACCTCTGGGAAACTTAACTTGTATTCTTCACTTTTCTTTTATTCTCCTTAAGAAACTTCTAGTAGATGGATGTTAAAACTTTAACTCTGCTGGGCTCGGTGGCTCAGCCTATAATACCAGTGCTTTGGGAGACCGAGGTGAGTGGATTGCCTGAGCCTGCGGGTTCGAGACCCGCCTGGGCAACTTGGCGAGATCCCATCTCTACAATAAATCAAAAATTAGCCGGGCGTGGTAGCGCGCGCATGTAGTTCCAGCTACTTGGAAGGCTGAGGCGGAAGGATCGCCGGAGCCCAGCAGGGCAAGGCTGCGGTGGCCGGGAGCGGCCACTGCACTCCAGTCTGGGTGACAGACTGAGATTCTAACTAAAAAAAAAAAAAAAAAAACCCAAAAAAACAAAACAACAAAAAAAACTTTAACTGTCTTCCATGTCTCAATTTCCCTCTCATACTTCTACTCTTTTGAGCTTTCTGCGGTGTCCTGAAAAGGAACCCAACTTCATCTTCATTCATTCATTTTAATCTACCTTCTATCGTGTTCACTATCACATGGATTTTCACGATTCATTCATTGACTCAACAAACTTTTATTGAATGCTTCTGTGGTAACGGAGACTAAGGAACATTTTCAGATTCTCATAATTTGGATTGCAGCATCTTCAATTCTAAGGATACTGAGTTTGTTGTCTTTTTTAGGGTGTTCATGTTCCTCAGATTTCAAGGATTTGATTGACTGCTCCTCTGTTGTCTGGGATCATGCATTTGGGGTTGGTTCAAAGGCAGCCTGCCTGTTTTTCTTGGGGGAATACTGGAACATGCTGTCACATGAGGGAGGCCAGGAGCTTGCTGTCTTGCCTGAGGGCTCCTCATACTGTCAGGGAGCTACGGCTACTGAAGGGCTGTAGGTCTTCTCTGGCCCACATTCAGTGCTATGGGCCTGAAAACAACTGCTGTTGCCACCAACTGCACAGCCCAAGTTGGGGAGAGGGAGAATGGTCCAAGCTTTTCAAGCCCAATCTCCACGAGGAAGTTTTACTTCCCTTTAACGACTCCCATTTGGCCTATGGTCCTCATTTCTACAAAGCCATGACTTCCTGTCCTTATATATCAGATCCTGCCTTCTGTATCTCAGAAACTCCTCAAAAGCACTGGTCAATTGATGACATTTTGGTTTATAATGCCATTAGATTTGATTTTCTTCACTTTTTTTTTTTTGTACTTTTAATTGGGGAAAGAAGGGAAGGCAAAATTATTTGCTCAGTCTAACCATCTTTATCCAATCTCCCTTCTTAACTGGCATTTTTCAATTCTGTTCAGTGGTTGGCCTAGGTCTGGGAGCTTAAACCTGTCTAAAACTGCTAGACATCAGTTATAATACTTGCGAGAGGTTGTATGCATTTAATTCAGTTATCTGCATTATGTGCCATAAGGGAAGTACAAGGAAAGTGCTATGAAGTTCAGTGTTCTCCTAGCTGAGTGAATGCATCTGAGTTGGACCTTGAAGAACAGGAAGAATTGGACATGTAGAGACATATGCATGAGTAGCGACTCACTACTTTGGCTTGAAACTCTGATTCATGACAGAACTTAGACACTTGAAATGATAAGGGAGAAATATTTCTGTCAGTTTTTTAAAAACAAACAAGCTGTATGTAAGCTGTAACAAGTAAAATACAGTAGGAAAAAATGTTCATAGATCTTTTCAAAAATCCCTAAACAGAAAAGCTATCAGAGATCATTTACTGCAAAATTAGAATCAAATGATATGTACATTTCCATTAGGGTGTGTGTGTGTGTGTGTGTGTGTGTGTGTGTGTGTGTGTGTGTGTGTGTGTGTGTAAACCATCTACATTAGCAAGTCACTTCTTAACTGGCATAATAATTTCTTATTACAAGAAAGTTTAATCCAACACCTGAGAAACTACTGATAAGGTACTTTTGGGGGAACTGTCCATTCTTTAGATGTTTTCTACAGAACTATTAAATAGATTCTCAACTGGCTTAATTGTGGCAGTGAGGAGTGGTCCTCTAGCAAGTCATTTCTGAATATATAATTTTATAAAACCATTCAATATTAAAAGATGACTTATTTACACTGGGAAAATCATAGCTGGGGAATTAGGGACAGAAATGATCAAGTCTACCTTACCCAAGAGGAATCACAAATGATGTAGCATGAATGTAAGAATTTTAATTTTATCCTAAGTGGACATGGATTTTTTTAAAAGGTTGAAGACAGTGCTTTAGGGGATGGTCCTGAGGCCTAAAGCCTCCTTAAGAAACTGCATTTTTTCTTTTTTTTGCTCAAAACTGACAATAAATATTATGGAAATCATAGCTTAATGCCAAAAAATAGTAAGTAAAACTCATCTGTTCTTTACTTTCTAAGAGCAGTTTGGTTTCTCTACCAACCTTTTTAAAATAATGACCTAAAATTTAAGAAAAAGAGTATTATGAATTTAGCTTTTATTCAAAATTAAATAAGCAAAAGCAAAAAATTTAAGAAACTTTTACAAATTACTTACATAAAAGAAAGTTAATAGAGACAGTTACAAGTTTGCAACACATAATTACAAAAGTCTCTAGGGCCGCATGAATATAAACCACGTCGCAGCATGGTGACCTAGTTGTGATATGAATAAGGCATAACTAACGTTTGCACCGAGACCAGAATTCGAAAACAAAACAAACTTTAAAAGCTTAGCTCTACATTAAACTTCTTCTCTTCTCCCAGATCCTTAATGGGTTTATACTATGTAATTTTTTAAAACACACACATCATGTCAAACCATAAATTACACAGATGGGCAGTTAATGTGAAAAGCCCCCTAAAATGTACAAATTAACTGGTACTGAATTGAGTTCTCCATTTACCTCTATATACAATTAAATGTAAACCATATTTTCACAGTTTTAAGTGTTTTATGAATAGATGCACAGTACCATGTCAGGTTGACGATTGTTCCTGAAAACTGGCTCTAGGTTCTGCATCCAATGCCTGGCGGCTACTGTGATGCAAATATTTACATAAATAAGAAACTGTGTCATAGTCAATGGTCAAGACAATTCAGCAAGAGCAGTATTTCCAATGGAGAAGGATACTCAATTCTCTATTTTACATACTTGTGCAAATGTAAGCATTAGGACAGATACATCTGAGGCAAATTCAATTTGAAAAACTTGTGTCGCTATGTTGTAAACTTGGGCAAGAAATGACCCTCAGCAAGTTCTGCTCTCTATGGCTTTTTTTTCTTTTAAAATTTTAAAGCCAGAGAAGATGCACACACACATTACCCACACACGCACACGCGCGCATACACATGCGCACACACACACGCCATAGACATACACAGAGTTCTTATTTCATTTTAGAATATGGTACATAGTGCAACTTCATCACAATGTAGAGGTTTAACACACATTCAGTGTGTGTTGTTCTGTGCAAGTTCTTAGTGGTCTAAATCCTAGTTGAAGGTATTCATTTGCAGAACCACATGATTCAGGAGGTTGAAGAAAAAAAAAGTTTCATTACATTTCTGAAACCAGCACTGGATGTGCAAAGGCAGCGGACAATCTGGCCATCAACACAGCCAGATTGGGGTAACTGTACAGGAACATCCAAGCAGTTAGTTACTTAGATTGGTCTCTAGAAAAATAGGTCAGTATATGCTGTATCTTTGTCAACCGTTCTTTCAAAGACTTCATTGACAAAACTGACAGCTGGTAGCGGGGATCTACAGGAAGAACTGCTAGAAGCCACCAACACCACGCAGGTCCATTAGGAGTTGCCTAAAAATAATGAACAATTTATAGTATTAATAAGACAAGTACAATGACAGTAACAAACCACCAAAAAGCTACTATTTATTGAGTACTTTACTATGCACCGGGTCCTTTTACAAATATCCTTAGTGATCATGTAGGTATAAAATGGGGATACTGAAGCTCAGAAACATAATGCCAATTGTACAAGATCTCTCAGCTCATATGTGGCAGAGCCGAGTTCAAAATCAAGACCTGGCTCCATAGCCAACACTCAGGCTTTTCTCTCTACGGCTCTGCCTTAGAGCAAAGTTCCTCAACCTCAGGCTGCTGACATTTTGAGCCAGATGCCTTTGTTGTACGAGGCCGTCCTATGCATTACAGCACATCCAGCAGCATCTCTGACCTCTATCCACTCAATGCCAATAGCACCACCCCAGCTGTGGCAGCCAAGCATGTCTCTAGATAATACCAAATGTCCAGTGGGGCAACACTGCCCCTAGCTGATAATAAAATGTCTTAACATGTATCTTTGAAGCACTAAGAAAAGTTCAATATTTAAAATTTCTTCAAAATATTGTGGAACCCTAGGAAAGATATTTTTAAAAGATATTTTTTAAATGGCCAGGTATGATGGCTCACACCTATAATCCCAGTACTTTGAGAGGCCAAGGAGGGAGGACAGCTTGAGGCCAGGAGTTTGAGACTAGCCTGGGCAACACAGTGAAGCCCTCATCTCTACAAAAATAAAACTAGTTCAGTGTGGTGGCATATGCCTGTAGTGCCAGCCACTTGGGAAGCTGAGGCAGAAGGACTGCTTGAGCCCAGGAGTCTGAGGCAGCAGTGAGCTTATGACTGCACCACTGTACTCCAGCCTGGGTAACAAAGTGAGACCCTTTCTCGAGGGAGGGAGGGAAGGAGAAGACTCTACTTCCACTTCTAGTTTTGTTTGTAAAATAAACAGATCTCCAACAAAGAAGTTCCTCTGATGTTGTAAGAGCTGACTACTGGCTGTTGGAATGACTAGGAATTTACACACAAGGATTTGTATCACTTTTACTGCGCACTTATTTGCATTTCCTTGCACCTGAAACATGAAGTTTCAGAATGACAAAAGGAGCTGTGACATCAGTGTTGACCTCTGTAAGCTTCCTCTAGAATCAAATGAAACTTCTGTATTTGTGTATTGTCTTGTTTTCAGCTCAGCATCATTACCACTGCTTCTGCTTCCAGAGACATCAGAAACTACATTTCCCAGAGTCCTGCCCTCAACACGGTTCCAGGTTAGACTTGGCCGGCAAGAGGCACTCTTGTGAGATTGGAAGTTGGAAGCAAAGAAGTCATTATTCCCTGAAGGTTGTTGCAAAGTGTGGGCAGCAGCATTCCAGAGAATTCCTGAGAACCACCTGCTTCACTGATACAGACTGGGATACCGCTGGGGCTTGCTGAGATTCCTAAGAAGTACAGCAGCTTCCTTACAAGTGCCTGAGAAGCACACTGTTTGCCATTCCAGGTGGAGATCAGTGGAGGCAGAGTCCCTGACTTCTGTAGGTGACATCCCTGACCCTCCCAAAGTGCTCCCAACTACTGCACAACTCTACCTTCTACATTAAACCCTTCCTGGGACATGCAGAGTGGCTGGTTTTCCTTTCCTAACCAAATCCCAACTCACTCAACTCAACATCAGCAGTGGTGGAAGCCAAGGTAATAAAGGGCAAAGGTGGTGATGGTGATGGGAAACTAATGTGGAACTTTTCTATAAGTTGTTTTTTATCATTTAAAATGTCTTACTCAGCCGGGCTCGGTGGCTCGGCCTGTAATCCTGTGCCTTTGGGAGGCTGAGGTGAGTGGATTGCCTGAACCCGCAGGTTCGAGACCTGCCTGGGCAACTTGGCGAGACCCCATCTCTACAATAAATCAAAAAAATCAGCCAGGCATGGTAGCGTGCACCTGTAATTCCAGCTACTCGGAAGGCTGAGGCAGAAGGATCGCCGGAGCCCAGCGGGTCGAGGCTGCGGTGGCTGGGAGCGGCCACCGCACTCCAGTCTGGTGATGGAGTGAGACTCCAACGCAAAAAATAAACAATAAAAAATAATAAAATGTCTTACTCAAACTTATTCCTATCAAAGTCTATTTTTATGATGTTAAATCAGCTTCAGGAAGGCAGGAGAAAACAAACGTGGCAACTGATGAAGTGTGGGGAGAATGAGTACTCAGTTTGGAGGCGGCCTGATGTTGAAATTTCTAGTTCAGGTGAAGGGTTCAACTAGGATTCAGACAGGCTTAGAGTAACCTTAGGAAAAACTGGAATGTGAGGCAGGGTGCATCATGGTGGGATCTATTATCTCTCCATCTTCATGTCTTTATTTACAGTCATTTCATTATAGAACTTACCATCTTCTGACCTTAAACATCTTATTCAATTCATAATGCTTATGCCTGTCGGGTGAGGTGGCTCATGCCTATAATCCCAGCACTTTGGGAGGCCGAGGTGAAAGGACTGCCAGAGCCCATGGATTCAAGACCCGCCTGGGCAACTTGGTGAGACCTCATCTCTACAATAAATCAAAAAATTAGCCAGGCATGGTGGTGCATGTCTATAGTTCCAACTGCCTGGAAGGCGGAAACAGAAGAATCACCTAAGCCCAGCAGATCGAAGTTGCGGTGGCTGTCAACATGCTACTGTACTTCAGCCTGGGTAACAGAGTGAGACTCCAACTCAAAAAATAAAAAAAGCTTATGCCTAAAAGTTAGTGCTTTGATGAGTCTACAATCAGATTTTCCATATTAGGACCTTCTTTTTGTCTCTTTCAGTGCCTCCTGCACAAATTTGCTGGCACAGAAAGTGCCTGATAACACATTCATTAGACGAAGCTTAATGTAAACCCTAAGTGATGAGCAAGACCATAACAGCTCCATGAGGAGTGAAGTATTAAACATGAAGAAACAAAAATGCACTGAAGTGGGCAGGGGGTAAAATGCTGGGGATAAGGAGAGGCAAGAAAATTTTTTTCACTGTATGGAGGTAAGTCTCTCCACTGTCAAGGAATAACAGCAATAGCTGATGGGCTCGAAGACACAGATGTCTCCTAGACACAGCCTCTAGATGGTAACATCCATGTTTCATGCCTTATCCCTCCTTCTAGACAATCTTCAGTTGAGAACTTGCTTCCTCTCTGGCACTGTCTCCTATAGGCATTTCAGCTGACCCTATTTCCAGCCTCTACCTATATAAAATGCAATGGTTATCATGGCTCTAGAAAACACGGCCATGAGTCTAAAGACTGGGGTCAGAGAAAATGTGCAAAAATGTGCAAAGTGAAACTTCTGGCAGCAGTCTAAAAGCCATCATACCTGAAGGTTTTCCTCCCTTTCGGGCATCGATCCAAAGTGCTGAAGAATTTGGCTTCGAAATCTGTCTCTTAAATTTTGAAACCAGCTGCAGGCTTGAGAGTACACCAAATCATGAAGTTCTCTGAGATTCTTAATCTCATCTTCATTTTCCACCTAGAAATACAACAGTCAGTAAGACTTCTGTGTCAAATCCCCCATCCATATACCAACCCTATACAAGTACAAAAAAGCATCAGAAAACTAGGGAGGGGGAAACCTATTTCAGTGCTAAGCTATCAGAGTATAATTCTTATGCTACAATATATCTTTCTGCGCATACAGGGCTAACTGGTCAGGCTAAAGAAAGACAACAAGGCTTGACCCCCACCTAACCTTGTTGACTTAGTGCAATACTGCAGAATCTACTAAAATCCCCTGAGTGGGAAGAAGAAGACTGAGAATGAGTTATGGATCAAACATCTATACAAATTTGGAATGGAATTCTTTTGGTCTTTATGAATCAATGGGTTTTTAAAGCAGTGGAACAAAGTGGAAGACAATGACTACAACAGAAGAAAAGATGGGGGGGTTTCGGGGTAGAGGTGACATGACAGACAGTAACAGGAGTCCAGGCATAATTACATCCTTTACTAGGGAACTGGATCAAAGCACAAAAACAAAAAGACACAACAAATAATCGAACATATAAAGCCAGCAGGTTAAAAGACAGAGAATCAATGATCCAATGATAACTTCACTGTAAAGGCCTAGAGCTATGGCTAACTCCACAACCCCTGCGTTTACCCTTTAGACTACAGAATCCACAAACTGCAAATGCAAAATTAAATGCATCAGTCTTCCAGTCTGAGATCCAGAAGAGAAGTCCCATTGTACACAGGTGGGAAGAACTCAATTTAATGCATCCATCTTATATTGGTTTCTTTAATGCACACTTAAACCCCACTGGCAACATGCCAGGTAGTGCTCTATTTCATATATATTAACTCATCTGAACAAACACCAGGCCTGACTCAGATTCTCATACTTTAAGGATGACTAAAACAAAAACAACAAAGGAATTCTGAAACATTTTGAATATACAAGTAGGAGTACAGCACATAAGAGACAAAAAAAAAAACAACTTTTACTTTTGAAAGACTGGAAATGAAAATTGAAACTAAGGTTCAAAGAACATCTGCTTTTTGCACAACAATGTGAATGAACTTAATACCACTGAACTGTGCACTTATAAATGGCTAAAATGGGGTAAATTCTGTTATTCAGATTTTACCACAATAAAAATAATTTTTTTAAAAAGGCAGAGGAGTCATACAACTGTAGAATTCTAGACTTGGAATGATCACACAAGCTTCAGTCTCCTCTTCACATACATGGGACTTGACAGGAGCAAGAAATAAGTTTGTGACTTATTAAATCATTGTTTTAAAAGCATCTGCTTTGTAACCTTAAAAAATTCAAGAAAACAAACCATGGGATCCAGTAAACAAGGAATGCTAAGAAGTGTAAGAGTCTGAGATGGAAAATGAAAAGCTGGCCAAAAAGCAGGTAGAAATTTGAAAAGCAAGCTTCTAAAGTTAGCAAATAACTTATAATTTGTTATAGTATTACTTGTTATAAATTATTTATTGTCATAATATAACAGAACTTAAACTTTTATTAAAAGTCGCAGAAAATAGAATTACTACAATGCAAAAAAAAATTTGGGAATAGAAAGCAAATTTCAGAAGTTTTTCCAGAATGGACAGGAAAATCATTCTACAGATAAGGAAATTAGAAGGAAAAATTCCTAACACCACAAAGACACAGAGGACTCAATTTTCTAAACATCAAATCCATAATGCTTTCAATGTACTATTCTATTATCTATGTTTATATTTGTAAGTATATATAGTCATAGATGTGCAGCCCCATACTTAAGAGATTTTGCCATCAAATCCAATATATGAAGACGTAAATTTATAGACAACTTAAATAGGGTTGCTAGTCTTACAATGCCTTTAGCAAATGATTCCATTAACCAAGCATGCCTAACACACAGACTGTACTGAGCATCTCAAAATTTCAGTTCACACAATACCTTTGCCCACTGCACAAAGCTATGTTACCCCATATAATTTGGGGTTTTTTTTTAGTTGAAGTCTCACTCTGTCGCCTAGGCTGGAGTGCAGTGGCACAATCACAGCTACTGTAGCCTCGGCCTGCTGAACTCAGGTGACCCTTCCACCTCAGCCTTCCAAGTAGTTAAACTACAAGCACAGGCCACTGTATCTGGCTAATTTTTTTTTAAATTTATCGTAGAGACAAGGTCTCTCCAAGTTGCCCAGGCTCGTCTTGAACTCCTGGGCTTAGGCAATCCCCTTGCCTACACCTCCCAAAGTGCTGGCATTACAGGCATGAGTTACCGCACCCAGCTCCATAGAATTTTTATAATATAGGACAGGCAATATCAGTCTAATCAAGTTTATCAGCAGACTATGATGGCAATGATAAGGCTCAGAACCTGGAATCAGAGAATTGAGTTTAAATCATGTTTGTTACCCCATCTACATGATCTTTGGCAAAGGAGTTACTGAATCATACTTTCCTCATCTGCTAAGTATAGAGTTATGAAAACTCAATGAGTTAACATATATGAAGATACCTAATGCCAACATTTAATAAATGTTGACTGAAATGAAGGGCCTTAGATCAATGAACTAGTGATGGTATAAGATTTATGTTTTTATAATGCTTTTCCGAAAGAAAATACCTTCAATTTGTTATATACAGCATCACAAGTCACTTTACTGGTTCCTAAACACATTGCAGTTGGAAAATTAGGTATTGCAAACATCAAAAGGGGCTCATTTACTCTATCCAAAAAAGATATCACAATAACCCTACGCAGGTTGCCCTAATATGCATACTGGCAGTGCTTTATCTATGCTGCCTTAGAGCTTTAACCAGCATCCAACTCTATTTATTTTAACTTGGGCACAGGAACAATCTTAATCTAGGCACAGAATAGTTCTTTATAGGATTCTGTGTGTTTACCTTCACAACAAATTTCAATCTGCTGATTGTATCACCTTGGACTACTAATACATTCAATAAAACTGGGAATAAAGTTGAACCTTTCAAAATCTGGATGGGTTGGAAGTTCATTTTAGTCAACCACTCTTGTGAAGTACCTACTATATGTATACATACACATTCTAGACACTATGCTGTTCATTAAGCCTGTAGAAATGAAGAGGATTAAGGTTCTAGTCTTCCCAAATTCTCTTAGAATGACAATGATTAGAAGCAAGATAAGAGCAAGGTAACTTGGAGCTCATTCTTGTAAGTAGCACTGATGAGTGTCTCTGATAGGAAGAACTGTTCATATGCCTAGAAAAAAAAAAATCACCCTGTATATCTGGAACACAGTCTACCAAAGTGTGCTGGAAAATAAAACTTTTAAATACCTTCACATCTTCCAGATATTCGATGTCTGCAGTGCAATATCCATCTTTCATTCCTCTGTTTAAAACCCGAAACCGCTTTCCTCCAACTGTATCAACCACAGACCTTCCATCAGGCAAGAAATGTACATTTCTAATTTGTAACATACAACCATAATCTGCAAAACTTAAAGAAAACTCCAGTTAGTAACAAAGTTCAATCACAAGCATGCAAGACCTCACCTATCTTCAAAGTTCCAATACAAGTACAAATATTTAAGTTAAAAAAAAAAAAAAGCATACCTGCTCTGTGCATCACTGACACACATCCCAAACTGTTTGGTTCCAGTTTGTATACTTCTTCGAATCATCAGTCTGTATCTTGGCTCAAATACATGAAGAGGGCAAGGCACAGTGGGATAGGCCATAGTGCAAACAAATATTGGAACATTCTTGGTCAAGCTGAAGGAGAGAATATTTATTATAGATCAAAACACAAAAAATGAGTAAAGTTAGTAACAGTAATAAATTAATGTAAAAAAGAAATTCGTTCTAAATAAGGTGATTTTTACTCTTGGCAAGAAGAACCAGCACCCCTTTCTTTAACCTCACACTGATGCACTATGAATACTAAAAACCTGTTTGTGATCCTCTTACTCATATGAGTAAGAGTGAATCTTGAAACACCAGGTTATCACACAGAGCTAAGTATCTTTATGAATCAAAAGAGAATTGTAACTGGCATTTTATATTAAAAATCTGTTTTAAACATCTGTAACACTTAACAGTTAATCTTTTATCCATAAAACACTCAGTTATTCTTAGATGACAATAAGAAAAAAACGAGTTCCCACAACAGATGAAATGCAAATAATTAAAAATTCCTAGGCATGAAAATATGTTCAAACTCATGATAAAAAAAAATAACCTGACATTTTTTTCCAGATAATTAAAATGACAGAACATTTTTCATTGCCAGATTAGTAGAAAGTAACAGAAGGATAACATCCATGCTCAGTTCTGTCAAGGGCATGGGAACAGCTGGCAGCGTGTGGGGCAGTGTGGAACAACAGTCCTGCTAAAGAACGATGTGGCTGTCGATATCTGAAACCTCGTGTTTTTGATAGGAAATGTTCCTGTCCTTGGAACCTACAGGCTCACTTTTAGAAATGATTCTACAAGTACTACAGGAATGTTCGCCACAGCACCAGGGGTAGCAGCGTAGAAGCCTCAAGAGGAGACTAGAAGATAAACTATGGTAAATCCATACAATGGGACACTCTGTGATGTGTGTGGCACTGACTTAGAAAAAATGCTTATATTCACAACAAGAGGAGGTTATAGAATAAGATGAATAACATCATCCCATCTTTGCTTAAAATATAATTACACACACTGGACTTGGCATGGTGGCTCATGCTTATAATTCTAGCACTTTGGGAGGCTGAGGCAAGAGGACTATGTGAGCTGAGGAGCTCGAGACCAGCCTGGGCAAAATGGCAAACCTCATCTCTACAAAAATTAAAAAATTAGCCGGGTGTAGTGGCATGCATCTGTAGTCCCGGCTACTTGGATGGCCCATGCAAAAGGATCACCTGAGCCCACAGGTCAAGTCTGCAGTAGCCATAATTGTGCCACTGCACTCCAGCCTAGGCAACAGAGACTTTGACTCAAAAAACCATAAAATATGTGTGTGTGTGTATTAAAGTCTGGAAGGATATATGCCAAAATGCCAATCACGGTTACCTCTCGGTTGCAGATCACAGCTTTATTTTTAATGCTTATTTATATTTTTCAGTTTTTCTTCAAAATGACCATAAATTACTTATACAAACATAATATTTTAAAAAAACTTGTTTAAATATGTGTTTTAAAATAGCCCCATCAGGAAGCAGCAAGATTCCCTGAAGCTTCCCTCTCCAACACTCAGCTCTCTGCATGTTGCTACCTCATTTGCATACACCACTCTTCTGTGGGCCATGTGGTGGAATCACTGTTTAAGATTTCAAAAGTACAGTTGTAGCTTTCTTAAATCTAAATGCTTCAGTGTTGATCAAAAAGGTTCATAATCCTTATATCATAATATTTTATATCACAAAATCACACAATAAAATGTCAATTCTGTGGGAAGACGAATCAATATTTATTTCTGTAAAGAAAAGACTGGAAATCTTTCTTCTATTGAAGGCCACGGACCCACTGAAGACACTTGAGAAGCACTTATTGTAAAAGAAGAGTCTACAGGCACAATTTCTGTTAGAAAGTGAGAAATATAAAATGTTCAATTTACATTTTGAACAAAAATGGAAACAAAGGTTGTTAAACAGAAACAGCATATAAAAATTACAATTTTTAAAATTTAACGTGGTCAGTTAAAAGAAAGTGAAAGAAACAGAGTTAAGAAATTAAAAACCTGTAAATGAAATTTAAAGAGACCCAAGTAATGGCCAAAGAGGAGAAGACATTATGGGAAATAAAAGGAAAGATGTCCAGGAAAGCAAAGTCAGGCCCAGCCCAGCCAGCTCCAGCCAGGCCCTGTGCTCTTCCGATAGTGGTGGTATGGGCTACTCAATCCCAGAGTTACCTCTGGGTTCTCTGCCTTCCTGATAACTCACTTCTTTTCCTGGTCAGTACCTTGATTAAATGACGATGTAGCCCCTAAGACACCCCTTCCAATTTCAGTCTCAGGTCTCAAAGTTTGGAAAGTCTCCTTCCAAACCTCTAGTTGACTAAGAATCCCCGGCTGAGTAAGGCCACTTTTCCTCAACCTGCCCTATGCACAAGACACAGGAGAGTTGTCATTAACATCAATGTCACTGCTACCAGCACCACCTCTCTATTCCCCATTCCACTGCCTGATGTCACTGTGGGAAATTCCTCCCCCACCTAACATACTGCTTAAGCCTCAAGAGCTGAGTCCATAATTCCTACAGAATGTCTGGATGCTACCAAATGAACTTTTAAAGAACTCTGTCTGTTGAGGACAGGGGAAACTGAAAATTTTGTTTAAAAAAATGCCTTTGACTAGACTGAGTTAAAGACAGGATCCAGCTTGCTGTGAGAAGGTTTCTCTTTACTATTTTAAAGGGCAGTAGTTCATAATTTAACTTTTATGAGAAGAAACTTACTGTGAGAGTTCAGCAGTTTCTTCATCATATATTTTTTTTCTCTCAGACAGTTCATCAGGCAGATACTTCACTATTAATTCTTCCAACAGCTGTGTGACACAGTACCTCCTATCTGCTAGATACTAAAAGACAATATTATTTTACATTCCAGTAGTTGTTTTCCTACAGTATAAAACAGGCAACACAGTTTAACTGATATATTAACGCCTTTATTACAAATGTATACAGTCAATTCCAAATTAATTTAATTAGTGAGGTGGAGCATTACAATGGCTGATGCTACACAAGTGAGCTGTCTGAGGTTTTGCTCAAGGGCATTAAAGATACATGGCTGCAATGTGAACCCAGCCCTGTGCAGAACCGCCTGCCATGATCACAGAGCCTGTCTCAGCAGCAGTCGGCCCTGCCCTGTCATCTCCCGCAACCAATGCCAACTTCCGTCTGACAGCTCATGGGTACTAAGCAGTCATTTTAACTGAGATACAAAAAGAAGATAAGGAATTAAGAAAATGATGCATTTGCTCTGTTTAGGAAGAGTAAAACTATTCTCTGTTTTGTTCCCAGTTACAGAGGAAAAATCTCCAGATAAATTTTCCTTCAGATTTTAATTCCGTTATCACTGATGATCATTCAGACCCTTCTCAAGGTACTGCTTTTCTTAGCGGATCCATCCATTCCAACTCTATATAAAATGGTACATTTGTACTACTCTCTAAATACTTTGTACTTTCCTCATGAGTTTTTGTGTCATTCTCTTTTCCAAATGATAAAAGTCTTCTTTCTCACTCCTGCCTATGAAAATCTATCTAGTCTTCAAGGCTGACTCCAGTTTTACTTTTTTCATAAAGTCTTCCTTAATTATTTTTCTGTCTCCCAAGAACCCACTATTTTACTGTTTTTACCACATAAAAGGCACTATTATACTGTAGTAAGTGTATATGGATACACTAAATTTTTGTAATTTAACTAAAAATTGCTTGGGACCAGGGACAATCAAAGTGTATGCACAAAACTTTGTACAAAGAAAATGCCCCATACATATTTACTTAATAGAAGTAGTGAGGAAAAACTCTTGGGAGACAATCACAAGACAGAGAGAAGTCACTCTTTAATCTGTAGTGTCAGCAAAAACAAGGATTTTGTCCTTATCCAATAAAGAATCGATTAGGAAATGTGAGAGGGTGGAAAATTTGTTCTAGTCATGTTTTTCAAACTTTAGCATGAATCTAGCCTTGCTAAAATATAGACTGCTGAGCCCCACTCCAGAGTTTCTGATTTAGTGGATCTGAAGTGAAGTCTGAGAACTTGTATTTCCAACAAATTCTCGTAACAGATACTGCTGGTCAGGGAAATATACTTTGAGAACCACTGGACTATATAGCCTGGGCAGAGGTTCCCTTAAGTAGGTAATAAATACACAGATAAGGTTAGAGCTTATCACAAAATTAATCAAATTATAGGCATTATAAAAGCAATCCTATTATCACTTTCTGTTGAGTTAATAAAGATGTTTACAAATTTAACAGTCATGTAACATTTGGGGAACTACAACCTCTCTTACATTACTGATAGGAATCTAAACCTGTGTAACATTTCTGGGGGTAAGGAAATCTGGCAATTGGTTTTAAGAGCTTCACAAATATATGGGCTTTGATCCAGTAATTCACCTCCCAGGAATTTAACCTAAGGAAATAGTCAAAGATGTATATAATCATTAATTTAAAATGATGTTGACCAAAGCATTGTACATAAAAAGAGAGAACAAAACAACTTTTATACCCAATAATAAGGAAATGTTAAACCATTGGCCTATTATGCTGCTATAAAAATCATTTCTTTAAAATATATTTAAACAGAAAAATAAGCACAATAAATGACAAGTAGGAAAAAATGTAAAACTGTAGCACAAACCAATATTATTTTTTAAATTACATATTATATATTTCTAGATTTTACAAATTATATTATACAGGGTGTCTCCAAAGATGGACACAGAATAAACATTTTTAACCAGTGTGTTAGAAATATTTTCAAATAATATGCTTAATTTTTTAAAACTCCAGACATTTTTTAAGATTAAATGTTTCTAAATTAAAGCAATGGATCTAACAGTCTGAAAAAAGAAGCATAACGAACTAGAGAGTATCTAATAAGTCTGGAAAAACAGCATGTTTAGAATCCTTCACTAACATTGAGCATATTAATTAAAAATGTAACTAACAAACTCTTTAAAAATAAGTTTATCTTATGTTTCCCATCTTTGTGAACATTCTGTATATGGGTTTGTCTTACATAACAGCTTGTTATACATGTAAGACACATATCAAATATAATACACATATGCTATTATGATATCTCTATTGAGCTGTTTTCTATATAAGGAATAACTCTATCTATAAAAATTTTATTAATTTTTTATTCATATGTGGAAGACACTTTTTTTCTTTGAATAATTCTGTCAATCACCAGAGACAGAATCACTCTCCCTGATCGATGCTACTTACAACTGCCTCTGGGAATCAGAGATTTTAGCCTCACCTTTCTGCGTCACTCTAGCATGGTGGAGAGGGTGCAGTCCTCTCGTCAGTTACAGAAGATTACCACTGAGATCTGACAACATTCCCATGACAGCTTATTAGAAATGATCACGAACTCTACAAGAAGGAGTGCAGGAAGTTGTACCTCCCCTCTTCTTTCCAGTTGACACTTTTCTAGAGCTGCACTGTCCAAGGTGATAGCCACTAGTCAAATGTGCCTACTTAAACATAAGTTAAACAAAATTTAAAGTACAGTTCCTCAGTCACACTAACATTCAAAGGCTTAGTAGCCATGCCTGGTTAGTGGCTACCACATCAGACAGAAAAGATATAAAATATTTCCATCAATGTAGAAAATTCTATTGGAGAGAGTTGTTCTAGATGTTAGGGGAGCTGGAATAGACCTCAAATTTGGCTTATTATTGAGGCTGAGAAGCAAGGCAGTAGGATTTCCCCAATACTGTCATCATGAAAACTGAACCTATCCCTGACCAGGTCACTAGCTGTACCTCCTTTTGTTAAAAAAAAAAAAAAAAAAAAAAAAAGAAAGAAAGAAAAAAATTGAGTGCAAGAGGCTTGCCCTCTGGGTCCTATTTTCTTTCCCCTACTCTCTTCAGTTTCACTTTTCTCCAATATTAGCATATGAGTAATAAACATTATTCTTTTTAGTCACTCAGGACATATAATGTAATTCATTCTGAACACGATAATCACCATTTCTATGGCTGAACAGAAATCAAACCATGTTGCCAAACTTAAGGCCAATTAACAGACACATATACAAATATTTACCTCTTTTAAACTTTCTTTGCAAAGAGGACAATATGGCGCATGATCTAAACAACGCTCAAGACAATTCTTACAGAACGAATGTCCACAAGGGGTTGTCACTGGCTCAAAAAACAACCTGAAATCAACAAAACTACATGTTAAGTTTTCACATTAATCAACCCATTGGAAAAGCTTGTACTAATGGAACCATAACACTAACCTGTTTCTAGAGGCAGACCCGTAACACTAACCTCTTTCTAGAGGCAGAAGGAGGGCCCAGTGGGCATGAAAGGAGGGCGAGGGTAAAGATAGGCAAACTATGTCCTCCTGAATGTTTTAAAAGTTCTCCATTAACAGAGGTCCCCTGCCAAGGGCCCAGAGCTATCCTGACTAATGCAACAGCCACTGGACAGCTGTGGCTACTAAGTCCTTGAAATGTGACTAGTCTAAACTGATGTGCAGTGAATGTAAAATACACAGCATATTTCAAAGACTTCATTAAAAATAACAAAATATATCAGTAATAATTATTACCTTTTGTATTGCCTTTAGAGTCCCATTTTACTATCAACTTAAAAATGTTTCTTTATAATAGGTTTATAAAAGTCTTACTATATAAAATCCATAAAAATAATCTAATTAAAATATTACAGTTGAATCCTAAAGAAACATTGTGCTTAATACTTAAAAAATGCAGGAAAAAACTAATTTTATTTACTGTACAATTATTTTCTGAAACATTCTGAATTTCCTAGAAATATTGTTAGATTTGGGAGTACTTTAGAAATTGTTTAGTGTAATCCCCTCTCTTCACAGAAGAAGAAACCAAGGCTCAGAATTAAGAGACTTACTCAGGAATATAGTTACTACCAGCTTAGTATGGCCAACACCAGGCCTTCTGACTCTTCATGAGTCCTTTGAATCTACCATAATTGACATGAGTAAGGAATATTCTTTCAAAACATTCAGACTTTTAGAATTATAAGCATTCTGCATAATAGAAGTCCTTATCCTTATGTTATTTTGAAAATATTTTATGATTAACATGCATTAAAAAGACAGAATAATATACATAAAGCACAAAATTAGAATTCTTACCCAAATCTAAGGCCATGGATATGTCAAAGTTTCATAATAGCATCTGTAACTTTCATAGTACTTTATAATTTCAGATTATTTTTATACTTAAGTCATTTGATTCTTACAACATTGAGATATAGGCTACATGGATACTGACCCCACTTTCTAAACCAGGAGACCTAAAGTTCAGAGATCCACTCATTGGCCCAAGGTGTAGAAGGTAAACACAGGACTAAATGCAAGTCTTTTGATTTTTAATGCAAGTCCAGCAATTTGTTATTTTACACTGTTTATTATTACCTTTATCTACACTGTGTTTTATTTAAAATAACATAAAATATTCATCTTCTATAAAGTTTTATACGCGTACCTCATGCAAAGAGAGCACTCAAAGTCTGAGGCATCTATTAATTCTTCTGGAATATCGCCATAAGCTAATGAAAACATACAGACTTCATTCGGAGTTTCTATTAAAACAAAGAAACAGGGTTTTCTTCTTTAGACAAAAATTTAAAGGCTATTCTACACAAAAAATTTATTTTATATTAGAGTATAGTGAAATTTTTACCTCCTTGTTTTTTAAGCTTATTTCTTCCATCTTCATTCACAATCACATCCTGTTCTAAAAGGGACAACTTTCTTTTTAGCAGAACACCTTTTTCCTGAACAGACAGTAAAGGTTCTGAGGACACTCTTTTTAAACAATCCTCTCGGGTAGGCATTTCTGTTGAATTTATAGACTGTGCTGACTGAGCACGGTTTAAGCTTCCTTTGACATGCTCTGATGTGATCTCTGGTATTTCTTCATTCTACAAAAATACAATAAACACAGATAACCATATTTCTTTTTATCTTTTATTCCTCTTATCAAGAATTAAACTGAAGTGAAATTTCAATGCCTTACAATGCTCATTTCAATGTTCATTTAACATCACAACTTTGAATTCCAAAACTGTAACAAGCAAATTATTTTTGCCAGTACAATCAGCCCTCCATATCCATGGATTATGCATATGTGGACTCAACCAACTGGGCATAGAAAATATATGCGAAAAAAAAAGGTCTGAAAATGTAGGCCTTTTTTGTCATTATTCCCTAAACAATACAGTATAAACACCATCTACATAGCATTTACATTGTATTAGGTAATATAAGTAATTTCGAGATTATTTAAGTATATGCAAAAATGTGAATAGGTTATATGCAAAGACTATGCCATTTTATATAAGGGACTTGAGCATTTATGAATTTTGGTATCTGTGAGAGGTTCTGGAACCTATCCCTCAAAGATAGGAGGGACAACTGTACTAGCCCTAGACATTAATGTGACTTATGTTATAATAAGGTTTAAACCTTATTATAAAGCTATAATATCGTTGTTCTTACCCTGAAATCAAAATAAATACAATGCTCTACATATTCTAAACACTAAAAGTTGCCTAACATTCACGTGACTTAAAATTGTGATTAATAAGCAAATACTTTACATAAAAGGTTTTAGTGTAAAATAAAAGGCTACAGACAAAATTTTATTAAGATAACTAAACAGTTTAAAAGTACTTAAAAAGGTTCTAGTGCTTGAAACTAGGAAAGTGAAGAACTTAACTTGTAAAGAAACAGATATGCTAAACCCATGATCATCCATTACCTGCTTTGGGCTAAGCTCACTGGGAGACGGAGACTCTTCCATTACTGAAGGAAAACCAAAAGGCTTGTTTTTAGTACATGGTAATGAACTCCAAGAAGGTTCCTTCAGGCCTTCTTTTAAGTTTTCAGGTGATAATAAATCACATAAAATCTGTAAGAGAAATATTAAAAGTAACAGAAAATACAAAATATTTGGTTAAGAATAATTTAATATAAATTTACTTAAGAAACTTTTGGAATGTTTGTACCAGACATTATTTTTAGTGAGCAGGAAAGAAACAAGCTAAGCAATACTGTAAGTTTATAAAGTTTTGCAAAACCAAAGTGTACCTCATGGGGTCAAATCACCTCAAAAAAATGATTCAAAATTTTGAAATGAAGGCATGGGAGTGGTAAGACTCAGGTAAAGGCTGACTTTCTAAAATAAGGATTATAAAAAGAAAATATCTTAAAAGGAGTATAAAATGTCTGTCTCTGAATCTCAGTGAACCCTATCCTATCAAAATAGTTGATGTTCACCCCAATGCATATTTTAAGGTTGAACTTAGAGTATTCATGTGAATTAAAAAACTTGGACCTCTAAATACAAAACTAAAAAACTCCCTTTATTTACATTGAATTTAACTTCTCTCTGAACAACTAACCTGTGTGGGCAGTCACTCTACTGCCCAGAACTTGGTTGGGCATACCAGATGGCAGTTCCCTGTAACAGTAGGGAGTTAAAGAGGGAGACAGTTGGAAAATAAAATTTCTGGGTGCTTATACCAGGAATACACCTAAAACTATCACAGAAACAGGGTAGGTTAAGACAGAGTAGAAACCTGGCTAGAAGAAAATAAGGGATTCTGATTTTTTTTTTAGTTGTCCAGTAAGCTGTATTTTTAAGAACAGCAAGGCATTTCTTAAAGTCCAAATTTGGAGGTCTTGTTTTTCAGCTATACTATCTCTTAAACAGATAAAATTCATTATTTGGAAATATACACAATGTAAATAAAAGCAATACCCCGTTTAATAAACAAACATTTAAAAATCTGTATATACTTTCACATTTCCTCGGATTTAAAAAAAATGTGTTAACACACACCTACCCTACAATCCAGCAACTCCACTCCTAAGTATTTGCCAAAGAGATGTGAAAACATATCCACAAAATGACTTGTACAAGAACGTTCATAGTAGCTTTAAGCATAATAGTTTTAAAAAACTGGAAACTATTCAAATGAAAATCACTACTAGCTAAATACCACAAGCCATGGTATGCTCATATAATGAAATATTTAATGAACAATAAACACAAAAGGAAAAAATGACTGGATGTATTGTAAATATTATGTCAATCAAAAAAGCCAGACATGAAGGAGTACACACTAATTCCATTCCTACAAAGTTCTAGAATGGGCAACGCTACTCTATGGTGATAGAAATCTGAACGGTAGCTGCTTCTAAGAGTAGGGATGGAGGATTTACTCGAAAGGAGATGAAGAAACTTTGTAGTCTAGAAGTTTCCTAGGATGATGGAAATAGTCTCTATTTTTTCACTGGGGTGCTATTACACGAGCTTATATATTTCTCAAAATTCACTGAACTGCAAAATTCATGCATTTTATTATATGTCAATTATAATACAAGAAATATATTAGATAAAAACAAAGTTTTAAAGCATCATTTGTTTTGCATTCACCCGACCATATTTACCAGCAAACAAGTGTTTCCAGAAATATAAGGATGTCAGGCAGCACCGAAAATATAAATACACAGGCTCTAAAATGTTTGCAGACTCACCAGGGAGATAACACAAACAAATATGGAAAAGCCAGAAAACAAATAATAGTGAAAAATTTTATGTTAAGTCAGTGGGTTAGAATGTATATGCAAACAAACTCATAGAGGATTTACCAACGCTACCTGGATTCTGAAGGGAGTTGAGATCTGAGAAAAATTTCAAAGTTCTCATACTTTATGGCACATAAGTATCTCCAGGGATGCTTGTTAAACCAGTGCCCCAATTTCAGAGATTTTGATCCCAAAGACCTGCAGTCAGTGGGATTCAGTAATCTTTATGTTTAGCATGAACCCAAAGTGATTCTGACAAAAAAAAAATCACACTCTAAGAAACACTACAGCTGTGATAAATAATGTGGCATATTTAGAGGATACTGAGGAGAGCATCATGAGTGGAATCCTGACTTTGTACTAAGTATTAGATTTTCTCCAAGAATTTTTTCAAAGACCTGACTCTTTCCAGATACTCTGTGAATAAGTCTGGCAAGAGCTGAAGGCTATTTTATTTCATGCTGACATGTCAAAGACTCTCAGGACTTCTGAAGAAACCTGTCTAACTTGGTTTAACCCAATGTTTCCAAAACACATTTGATAAGAGAGCTCTTTTCCTTACCTCTTCCCCTACCTTTTAAATTTAATACCAACTTACATACCATAAACAGAATGAACTTTGGAAAATGACACATAGAGTATTGAGAAAAATACGGCAAAACAAATGGACTGGGGCAACACTACAGGAAATCACAGGAACTAAGCACAGGTGAGACCTGAAGTAACTGGCAAAACGCAGGTAAGATTCCTGAGCAGGAACTTCAGGATACCACTGATCAATTAAGAACCATCAGTCTGGCTTGGATTGAACAAAACTATTAAAAAGATAAAGTGGCCAGGTTCGGTGGCTCAGACTGTAATCCCAGCACTTTCAGAGCCGAGGGGAGTGGATTGCCTGAGCCCACGGGCTCAAGACCAGCCTAGGCAACTTGGTGAGACCTCATCTCTACAACAAATCAAAAATTAGCCTAGCGTGGTATTGCATGCTTATAGTTCTGGCTACTTGAAAGGCTGAGGTGGAAGCATTGCCAGAGCCCAGCAGGTTGATGCTGGGGTGGCTGTGAGCAGGTCATTGCACTCCAGCCTTGGTGACAGAGCGAGAATGCAACTCAAAAAAAAAAAAAAAAAAAGAGTAAAGAAAACCAAATTAACTAAACAAAAAAAATTACACTGAAATAACTGTGAATGAAAAGTTTTATTTCACTAAGAACCCAAAACACTAAGTATATAAACCTGAAAACCACTTGTTAAATTGCTCCTAAGTTATAATTTCTTAAATTCTTATTCTAACTTTGTATTAGCATTTTTGGAAAAGAGGTCTATGCCTCAGACCTGCCTTGAATTACTGTAGTTGGTAAACTGATTACCTTTTCTACTTGTAGCTTTGCAGGGGCAAAATCTTCATCAAGGGTTAAGCACTGAAGAAAGAGTTGTAAGGCATCACCTAAAAAACCAGCATCGTGGAGCACTTTTCCCTTCCTGAAGTAGACCTTCAATAAAAGCACATAAATAAAACCTTTATAATATATAATTATTTTTAAAAAATCATTATCAAGAAAAACAAATCAGTCTGCTCAGAAATGTTGATTCTGAAACTCTGAATGACTGAGGTCCCAACGTTTTAAAGGCATATCTACACACCACACTGGAGAAACACTAACAGGGGAACTGGGAACCAGACAATGACCTAACCAGAGTTCCACAGCAAGTCAGAGCTAGGTAAGGCCAGAAATAACACATTTCCTCACTTTTAAGAAAGTACTGCTTTAAATATTATTGATTTAATGATAGCTGTTTTATGGAAAAGGGAATAATATGTAAAATTATGCTGACTTTTAAGATGCATCAAGATTAAAGAAACATTAAAATGTGAAAAAACATGCATCTTAGAATCAGGGCAATAAGGTAAATGTCTTAGAAGTTATTAGGAATGTATGTTTGTCTATATTTCCTAAGAAAGTACTTACTTGTAGACATGACACTTTTTATAAATTCTCTTTTTTTTTGAGTTGGAGTCTCACTCTGTCGCCCAGACTGGAGTGCAGTGGCCGCTTCCGGCCACCGCAGCCTCGACCTGCTGGGCACTGGCGATCCTTCCGCCTCAGCCTTCCAAGTAGCCGGAATTACAGGCATGCGCTACCATGCCCGGCTGATTTTTTGATTTATTGTAGAGATGAGGTCTCGCTGCCCAGGTGGGTCTCGAACCCACGGGCTCAGGCAATCCACTCACCTCAGCCTCCCAAAGGCACGGGATTACAGGCTGAACCACCGAGCCCGGCTATAAATTCTTATTGTCTTTTTCTCCTTCATGATATGAGTTCAGCTAGCTCTATGACAAAAACTGGAACCCTACTAATAATCATTGATAAACCAGACTTCAATTTGTGGGACAGTCCACCAACAAAGGTCAATTGGTAAACTTTAAATGTGCCCTGCTTACATGATTAGAATGAAAGAGGTTTTACAAGTCATAAAACTATTACTATTAAATAACATCAGAGAAGCCGAAAGAATGTTCTAGTCAAAGTTTTTACCTACCTTTTCAATGGCTGAAGAAAAGCACATTTCTAATTACATCACTTCAGTGATAAGTCCAGACAGTTCTTTTCTTTTCAACAGTTTAAAATCTATCCATGCCACCCACTGCTCTCTTATTCTTAATATATATCTGCTTTGTACTAACCAGTCATGCCATCATAGGACTTTGCATCATTTCTGCAATTAATTTATAATTTTTAAAGCACCCTTATTATACTGTCCTCAAAGGCACCATTTCTAATAGAGGGGAAAAGTCATATAAAAAAGTAACTTCTATCTTAAAGAACATGTATGAGAGATGAGCTGATCTGTTTTGGTAATCTGATAAAAAGGAAAATTAAAAAACTGATTATATCTTATATGCATTTCTCAAGTCTTTTTTAAAGCCATATGGGCAAGGCAGCCTTCTTTGCCCCATCTTCTGTATTAAATCACTGCCTCATCACTTAGTTGCTACTGTAGTGTCTCGAACAAACAACTTTCCAGTTTCAAAGACCACTAAAAAATCTCCTTCAATGAAGTTCAGTTTGGATCCATTTCTACAATATGGTAAATTGTATTTCTTTGTGGAAATTTTGTTTAATAATGCGTGTTTTTTTCTGTGCCATTAATTGTTTGTTTCTTATTCATGAAACAAAACTTTCTTAAAATTAAAAAAAAATTGTCAGATGATACTCATCCACTAAAAATACTGAACCTATATTTTTAGGATGCTATGTATTTTATTTAGAGTCAACCATCCATTTTGTTAAAACTTGTAACTGTGACTGAATGCATATTCCCTACAGTTGAAATTTTAAAACTTATGCAAATATAAAACAGTCATTTTACCTCAGGCCAATCTGGAAGTTGGAAGAGAACTGCATTTAAATCTTCAATGGCTGCTTTATACTCTTGGAGACCAGCATATGATTCTGCTCTATAAATTTTTAGAATCAAGTCACTGGGCTCTGAAATAAATATTTTATAAGGACATGATTATTTTTAAAAGATTATATAATCCACAAAATATTATCATACTAGATTAAGAAATGACTCATTGATTCCAGAGTCAGAATCACCAAACTAAAGTTTATGAAGCAAGGCGAGCACAGATGCAACCCACTTTACATGCTGAGTCTTTTCTACACAATCTATCAAATAACTGTAAGCAGATCATTTTAGTAGAAGAAATGACTGTTTTAGAAATACCAGAAATATTTTTATAATATGAATAATCATCCTCAAGAAAACCAATTTTTTAATAAAAAGGTAATCTATAAAGATTTTAAAGACATGTTTTTGATATTTAGATTTACCTTTGTATAGCAAATCTTATTTTTATACACTAATTTCTAAATCCTCATTTATAAAAACGACCATATAAACAGCTATTGCAAGGGACTCTCCACAGTCACCAGGGACTGATGAAGGATCAATCTTATAAGAATATACAGTGGTCTAGACTCTGCAGGAAATGGGTTGATAAGAATCATTCAAAAATCTCAATTCTTGCCATCAGCAAGAATGGTATTGGCCCAATTCAAAATATATTTAATCTCAAATACTCTGGAGAAAAAAGACTCCATGTTAATTTCACTATCACCTACATCCGTACTCTGAAACCAAATTACTATTCCTAGGCATTCAGAATTTCAGACACTTAGCTGTTCACTTATATTACTGTAACCAATTACTACATTTATATGGATTCTAAAACTGAAGTCTACGCAATAAACTAATTTTCCATGTATCTACAGATAATGTTAGCATGACTCTTTTAAGGTTATTTGTCTTTGAAGTCTTCAAAAACATAAAATAAGACATTCACTGTGAAAAGGGTATAAAGACTTTAATGCATCTAAATAAAATGTAATAAAATTCATTCATTACGCCTTGGTTTACTCTAGTTTGTAAACGACTGCTTTTCTACAGATAACTCTTATCTGGACAATTAAATTAGGCCTCTTTCAGGTGCTGGTGCCTGAAAACTGGAATTCATTGTTCCCACAAATTTTGTATCAATAAGAATGTTTAAAGAAGAATGAAATTTGTACTTCATAAAAATAGTTTCATTTCTTTGAGATGTCTAGAATATTGTCTTGTGTTTCTTAAAGCAGTATCACTGAAAATCATTATCTCTGAACAAAAATGCACAGAAATTAGAAGTAATTGTGATTAATCAATCAAGAATTAAAAGTTCCTTACAAAAAAGATACCTGCGCACATGTTTACTGCAGCACTATTCACAACAGCAAAAAGATGGAACCAACCATGCTGCCCATCGAAAGTGGAATGGATTAAAAAAAAGTGGTACATATACATGATAGATTATGCAGCTATAAAGAAGGACAAAACTATGAACTTCACAGCAACTTGGATGGAGTTAGAGTCCATTATACTCAGTGATCTTTCACAGAAACAAACAACTAAGCACCACATGTTCTCACTTATAAGTGGACCCTGAACATGTATCTTAATATTACATGAAAGAGATCGGCAGTAGCTGTCACTACTGGGGGAGGGAGGAGCTCATAATACTAATAAGGATACTGGATCCCAAATCAGGTGCAGCAAGAATCAAAGAGAGGCCCAAACCTCACCTGTACAATGACCACTTATGTACCTAACCCTGAATTGTACCCCACATCTTTAAAATAAAAAATAAAAATCAAGAGTTCCTAGCACAATGCTAAACCCTGTAGGTGTTAGAAAATGTTTTACATTATTCCTGTCTTTGAGGAGTTAACAATTTAGCTAGAAAGGTTCATTGGGAAACAGCAAACAGAATCGTGTAATCGTGATTTGACAAGCACAACTAGAGTTCAGAAAGTAGAGTGAGTCGGGCTCGGTGGCTCAGCCTGTAATCCTGCACCTTTGGGAGGCTGAGGTGAGTGGATTGCCTGAGCCCGCGGGTTCGAGACCCGCCTGGGTAGCGAGACCTCATCTCTACAATAAGTCAAAAAATCAGCCGGGCGTGGTAGCGCATGCCTGTAATTCCGGCTACTCGGAAGGCTGAGGCGGAAGGATCACCGGAGCCCAGCAGGTTGAGGCTGCGGTGGCCGGGAGTGGCCACTGCACTCCAGTCTGGGCAACCAAGTGAGACTCCAACTCAAAAAAAAAAAAAAAAAAAGAAAGTAGAGTGGTGTGTGTCAAAATAGTACAAGGATGAAAAGTAAAAACACAGGCATCAAAAATTCTGGGCTGTAAAGGACACGGCTCAGAAAGTGCAGTTTTCCACCCACAGCCAGAGTCCTTCTGATAGCATCCTTGAGATAGACTCCAACAAGAGAAAGTTTACAATTGCAACAAACAGCCCACTCCATGCTTGGATCCTTATAGGACTTCCCCCCCCCAAAAAAATTTGTTCTCATATGGTAAGTTCTCACTGCTTTCTCAATGCACATTCAAAACTGTTGAATATCTACCCATCTAGCCATGCCATCACCATTCAATCACCTTTATAGTTTCTTCAGGGCAGCACTGAAAGAAATGACAGAGCCCAGTCTTTGAAAAAACCTAGGCAATCTATAAATTTCTCTATTTTCTACAAAGCAAGAAAAGATTGTGTTCCTTCTCTCCACACAGAAATACCAGGCTGTTGAGATCCCCCATGGGACAGCCTAAAAAGCTAGTGTCTACGGGAATAAGAAGAGAAGATGTACATCCTAAGAAGAGACTAAGAGAGAGCCAGATTTTAAGACTCCTCCTCCACAGGTCTGTGTCTCTAATGTTCTTATGGAGAATTTCAAATGTTAATGGTATAATTCCTTTGAATGATCTATTAGAAAATAAACACAGCAGCGGCAGCAGCAGGTGAGTTCAAATTTCTAATACTTCTTTTTAAAAAGAGATTAAGCCATCCCACTTGACTCCAAATCCTTCTCAATTCCAAAAGAGCCAAAAGTGCTCATTGAGGCCTCTAGAATAATCAAAGCATTCAGAATTATCTGCCTTCCAGGTTAGCTTTCAAGAAAGGCAACTGAAAAACAGCCATTAGCCTGGCAGTGTCACAAACTCAAATTTAAAAGAGTAGACTGGTATTTACTGTATGCTCTCTACCTGACCTTGAGGATGTTGGAGTGAAGTCCCCTCACTGCACACACCCCCAGGGAAGACCTGCCTCTTCCTCCAGGGCTGCAGGCATCTGTAGTACCTAGCAACTGCCTACCAGCTCGGCACACTCTACACTTTCCATTTGTTGAAAAGGAATACAAAGATGATGTGGCTTGGGCTAATTGTATCGAATATGATTGTGGTACTTAACTCTGTGATCTCATTCTAAATCACTTAATATCTCCGGTCTTGTTTCCATGTCTCCCAGAGCCAGAAACAGACGTGGTAGCACTTCGTCACAATTTACCTAACCTCTGATTCATCCGGTTTCCAACTGCCTGCTATACTTTTCCTGAAACAGCATGTTCTTCACACACACACACACAAATTGGTGTTTTCAGGGTATTTTCGAATTTCCCAAGTCTGGATCATCCTGAACTCTGTCAATTTCACCTTCTATATTTCTCATATCTGCTTCCCCTTTTCCAATCCTACTGCTAGTAACCCTAGGTTAGGCTCCTCCAATCTCTTTTGTACTAGTGCAACAGCTTGCTAACTGCCCCCCAGTTCTATGTGACCTACGTCCTCATCAACCACAAGATAAAATAGGTATTACTGAGTACAACATGCAAGTTCCCCCACACCTAGTTCCTGCCCATCTCTCCAGTCTCACTTATCAACCTCCCACTTGAAGTCCCAATTACACCTAACTACTCATCCTGCCCTATGCATACCATTCTATTTCATGCCTCCTTCTAGTGCTCACAGAGCTCCTCCCTTTACCAGACCCCTCCTTACCCAGCCCTCCTCCTCTGTCTGCCTAACTTTTTATCATCCAGCAAGATGTAGCTCACCAGTCCCCTCCCAAGATGCTATCCTTCTGGTCTTCCTTCCCATAATATAATCCTACTAATTAAGGGGCACAATCCGGCTCCTCCACTTTCTCACTGGGACCTGGGGCAGATGACGAGTCACCTCTGAACTTCAGTTTCCTCAGCTATAAAAATGAGAGACTTAAAAAATTTTATTTTTGAGAAACACCACTTACTATGTCTAAATGATTTACAATTCTATACAGAGCTATACAATTCTATATGATCCACATTTTTATAGATGAGAAAACTGGGCACAGAGAGTTAAGGTGAGGTAGCTGGTAAGTGGTGGATTCGAAATTCAAATCCAGGCAGTCTGGCTCAAGTTCTTGCTGTATACCTCTATACTAAGTTAATAACAGCATCTACTTCACAGGGTTACTCAAGAGGTGAGCAAGTTAATGTAAGCAAAGTACTTAGAACAGAGCTTGGTATTCTGAAAGCACTATTTGCTAGTATGATTATGTTACTTCACTGTATACGCATAGCATTTATTAGAGTAATTTAATTTGACAATCGGTTTTTCAGCTCCCTTGTCTTTGTATCCTCTGCTTCTGGCTTTGATGTTTCCTGAACTAGGGAAAATTCATTAAAATCTGATTCCTTAAGTTCATCAATTTATGCTTCCAATTTCTCTTCTCTTACACCCAGTACTATTTGTGAAGTTATCAGGCAAATAAAAGGATTGAAATAAAAATTCTGTTACCCCCCTAAGGAAACTAGTCTTCAGCTGACTAGAGCGTTTCACAGGCTGAAGAAAGTTTGCAATTCTAGAGTCATGGTTCCCTATCTTTGTTTCAATCCTTACGGATCTACGATTACCAACAGGGGTCTTAAAGTTGTTTCTTTAGTCCAATTTCAAAAAACTTTCTTTCAAATTACAAAAGCTATAAGCTGTTGGAAAATGTAGATAATTAAGAATTTAAAAAATCACATTTTCCCATCACAAAGAAGTATCCAGTGTTGGTATTGTTGAAAGACAAAAGTACTACATATTTGAAGTTCTAATTAGCTTTTATTTGTGATTCTAGAAATGGGCTCATTC